TTATAACCCTTCAGCTTCCCACAGTGCTCTCTCCTTGCTTCCTGCAAATACTTCCTGTTGCCCTTCCTCTCATGAGTGCCTTCCCTAGGCAGAAGTTTACTGATCAAAGTATTTTCCTCAGTCCTTTACTTGGATGTAGTTGTGTGAACTCACAGACTGCCTGATGGGGTCACAGCTCTTGACGTGGGTATTCCTTTGCTCTGTACATACATCTGTATGTGTACACACATGCACATATCTGCATATACAGAAAGCAAAGTTTGGGAGAAATGAACAATATTAGAGAGTCATTACCATGAAACGTGTTGGAGACCATCGGCCCACTGTAAACATTCTACGAATGAGATCACAGCAATGCTCCTGTTAAAGCTGAGGATCTCTTTTCCTCTTCCTTGCTCAAAATTCAGGACTCAATCCCAGCAGTGCTATCCTCACTGTGTTTTCTCAGTTCCCTTAATGGCTTTGCATTAGCCATGGAAAAGAGATCTTCTGGTGTTCCTTCAGCTCCAGTGATAAAAGAGCCAATATGTGCTCAGCCCCATGTTGTATCAATTCTTCTGCTTTGGTCCAAATGTCTGCCTCCTTATTACCTCTCACTCTATCCTAAATTCACTTCTTCTCTCCAGCTTGCTACTGGTATTAATCAGCCCTCACCGTACAGGTTAATATTGGTATCATTTTTAATGAAATTATTAATTGTAAGGAGACGGATATGCAGGTTGTATGGAGTCTTGCGAGACAATGACTGTGTTGTGATTTCTTCATGGTCCTTATCAAAAAAATCCCTCTCTGGTGATGATAGGGATTATATCACATTAAATGGAAATATGCATTAAACACTAAGGAACAGTATCGCATAACAAAGCACATCCTTGTCTTTCAAGGATGGGAAATTTATCTAATCCCTGACCACTATTTCTAAAAATGTTAAAAAAAATAATCCTTAAAGTTCAGTTTCTCTTTTTGCCTGCACTTAACTCCTCTACATAATTTTAGAGTATTCACATCATTTACAGCAAGTAAACATAATTCTTTGTAATGGGGTCACCTCTAGATGTAGGAATTCATGCTTTATTAATATTTACTATGGTTTTCAGCTCACTTTTTATCCCTGCTGAAAAGTTATACAAAAGCACTGTGTATTCAGTGAAAAAATAGTAAAATACCAAAATGCTCATAAACAACTTTTAAAGACAATTCCTGAAGCAGATGTTCAGTAACAGACATTTTTTATGAAAATAACAGTGGGAAGGAGTTTGGGTTTGTTTGTTTGGCCCTCAAGGAAATTAAAAAGCCTTTCTATAATTTTGATTATAACTTCAAGAGAAAGTTTTATTATATCAAGGATGTGTTTGCATGAAGGATGGAAACCTTAAGGGTTTAAAACCTGTTTTTAAAACTAGAAATTAAACTTCTCTTGTTAATCTAAGGAAGCAAAGTCCTGTGGCAGTTTTCTAATGAAAAACCTGTAGGTCTGTTATAAAAACTGATAATACAAAAAATGGCATCCACTTTTGCAACACATCTGCTCCCTGAGCATATATAAGTAATAGCAGCAGATTCCTGTGAATAAGTAAGTACCTATGATTAATCCTACTGGGGCAGAACAACAGAGAAGTATTAGGCTCTTACACTTTTTTTTTCCATTATCAATATAATAATTCACTTCCATTTTAGACTGAAAATCTAGAGAAACTTCAGCTATTTGCTTCAAGCCTCATTGAGCTGAATTCTGTTGGCATTAATGATGAACTTTCACTGGGATTTTATGGTGGTGCTATCTTGAGGATGTCTTCTAAAAATAAATCCTTTGCGCTAGTTTAGCTTGTAGGTTCAAGTACAAAACTTACTAATAAGGATTTTTTTCTGCTAAAGAAAGAATTTGATCTGATGTCTAGAGTAAGTTTGAAGGATGGGGAACTAGAAAAACTCCTCTTTAATTTTCTCTTCTTGAATCCTTGCAGATAGTGCTCTGAAAGATGCTAGGAAGTGAGGGAGACGTGGCCCTCTGAAATTCAACAGTGTCACTTTTTTGAGGTGATTTTTCAGAACAGGACCACCACTATCCCTGCATTTGCATGTACATAGCAACAGATAAAGCTTTGCTTCTGACAGATGGGAACGATACTACGTTCACAGTCTGTGCACAAGAATTTCTATGAACAAATGAGTTTTAAGGTCTAATTTCAGTTATTAAAGGGGGCTTCCAGAAGGTCATGGGACCTTCGTAACCTCAAGGTCATGGACATTTATGTATATGTCTACCTATTGTGCATTTATAACGTGGCTGTAGGTCTTGTGGTTTAAGAATGATATTCTCCAGTTACACTACCACTGCCTCCACCACACTTCCACTACTTCCTCCACTCGATGGACTGGAAGGAATCCCTTCTCCCTGGAAGAGACTTCCTTCCACCATCCCTGGGAATGACCTGAGGTGGTATAGTATAACCTCCAGGTCCTAACCACACCCCCTCCTGACCACTGCAAAAATTAAACCTGTCCTTTTGCTGCCTTTATTGGCTGCTCCTGTATGGGGCAGAGAATCTCTCCAAAAACTGGACCATTTTCTCCCACATTTCATGCCACTCATGGCTATCAATCCTTGAGGTAGATCTCTGAATGACCTTCCTAAAGGAAAGAAATTACCTTCTCTTTCTTGACTCTAAACATGGTGTGGACTGCACTGAGGAATCCTGGCAGTCTTGACAACAAGAACATGCTTTCCTTAACATTCAAGTGAATTTCAAAACTTCCGAAAGCTGTTGTAACAGGCCTGAAGGAGGAAAAAGGGGTGAAAAGCCAGGGAAAATAACCCTCCCCTGTTCTCCTGCAGACTGGGTACAATTATTGATGGACTCCCAAAGGTAGCACCCGAGGTAAGGGTAGGAGAGCGACACTGAATACACATCCCAAATGACCCTTGTTGTCCTTGACTTTATCATGTCATAAGCTGATATCAGACAGTACAATGACAGAGCAATCCTGATCCCCCTCCCTGCTCTGAAAAAGAGCACCACGAGGAGCATGTAGCGGAATATATACAGGGTTAGGTACCCCACCCACATGAACAGACCAAGCAATATTGTGACCAGTGGCTCTGTACCTAATACAACGAATGCTTAGATCAAATTTGTTTTCAACCCACTCTGGGCAGATCTGTTATTTTCTTAACCCTTCAAGCCACAGATTGGGTGCCAAAGAAGGCTGTCACGATTTAGGAATGGTATTCACCAATTTAGTGCTCCCACTAAAACCACGTGTCACTCACTCCTCCCCTCCCATGCAGCAGGCTGAAAAGGAGAATTGGAGGCACAAAAGGTAAAGATCACAGGTTGAGATAAGAAAAATTTACTGGAAACAGCAATGAGATAGAAAACGAACAGTAACAGCAGCAAGATTAATAACAAAAGCTCACAAAAGAGAGAGAGTGATTCACCTACAAATGACTCACTGAGCCTGAGGTGACTGCAACCACACCACCCTGACTGCTCTGTCCAGCTTGGAAACAGTGTTACCCCACTGCTCCCTCCGGCTTTCAAGCCAGTGCCATCCCATTGCTCTCTCCACCATGCTTACTTGATTTGAAGGAACCCCTGCTCCTTAGAAGAGACTCTCTTCCCCCAACCGCAGCAATGGCATGAGATTGTATAGAATAACCTCCAGGTCTTAGCCATCCCCCCTCCTGGCTACTGCAGAAATTATCCCTGTCTTGGCCAGAATCAGGACAGTAGGTGTGTATGTAATGTACACAAATGCACTCAGCGGGGTACACTTATCTCTAGAATAATGGCATGTCCCAGTGGTCCACAGTTACCAAACAAAGGGGCTTGTTAGACCACGCTGCAGCTTCTATGTCCTTTGCATAGGAGGCAAGAAGCAGAATGAGAGGATGGTGTGTGCATTCTCATGCTGCTGTGAATTCAGGATGTAGCTGGGGGCACTGGCAAGGACCTGAGCTTTAGGAAACCCTGCTGGAGAAGCAGCATTGGCAGATTGACCATGCTGCCTTTCAGACCCCTGTGAGTTAAAATCCACTAGAAGAAAGTGAAAGTTGCTGAAAACTGAAATTAAAAAATCCAAATTAAGGGAATATTAGTTATGACAAGACAGCACAAAATTTTCCTGCACATAGCCAGTTTGGGAATAAAGGGTGGCAATAACTAGTTCATAAAGGAAGACTAAAACATCATGTTTTACACAGCAGGAGTAGAAAAACAAGTTTAGAGTGATAGGAGTTACGTAAATATTTCATTATGGTGAACAAAATATTGATTCAGTGATCTCAACAGTGCTAAGTTTGAGGAGTTATTCTTGAATGGTTACCAAAGTCTGTTATTAAAATAATTTTTGGTTTTTTGAAAGACTTAAAAAAAAACAGCGATATGAGAAGTTTTTCTCCAAACTGAAATGAAACCCACTTGCATTTCTTAAAGTACAAGGGTTTAGGAAGGAAGAAGATGTGCAAAAGGAATTATCGGTAATGATAGCTGGAATTGAGATGCTGGGACAGGGGTAGGTGTACTGTATTCCTCTGATCCCTGTTGTTTTGTGCAGTTGTGGACGCTGAGAGCATCATTCATAAAACTCTGTCACAATTTACTCAGGACCTGAGTGTTACTCTGACTTTAGGTTCAGCTCCAAATTTTGCATTAGTCTTCATTTTAAACCAATAAACCTGTATCTGCCTCTTCTGGTCTGTTTTATTAGGAATACTTTATGAGCATTTTTTTTTAAAGTATGCTTTATGTAAGAGGACCTCTTACCTCTTAGTAGTTCATCTGTAAGGAGCAGAGAATTTGTGAAGATTTGGGATCCAGTTTGATCTCGTTTATACTGATGTAAATAAGGAGCTATGATTTCAGATTGGCACTTGGAGGATTAAATACTAACTCCTGTGCTGTTTTTTTCTGCACACCATTTTCTGTCCTCACACTGACAAATTAAGTTTCAGTTTAATGATAGTGTAACTTACCACTGTCATCTCTTCTGATTTGCAGATGGGCTTCTTCCGCCGGAGGTATAAAGAAATTATTGAGGCCGAAAAGAGCAAAAAGGAGAATGAAGATAGTTGGAACTGGGTCCAGAAAAACCAGTGAACTGCCCATGAAAACTAAAGCCCAGTCATGTGACACGTGCTCACTAGCCTATAGGTCCTGCTCTCATATCTTCCATATGTGGAAGAAGGAATCTTCTCCAGATTTTTCGGAGACCCATTGATGCTGTGTCTTTATCACTCAAAAAAAACTAGGGAACATATCCTGAGGCAACCACTGTAGCCATGTCAGGTGACTGGAGCAATTCATACTTCATTTAAGAGTTGAAATTTGAACTTTGGTAACCAAGCTGCAGTGCAGAGCAATATTTATGAATCCAACTATTTGGTATACCCTCAGGGGAAGACTGTTACCTAAAAATATATTTTATAAATATAAGCTTTTTATATTGAGTATGTCTTTATATTTGTATCAATGTTTTATAATTTCTACTGAATAGTATATAGTTCACTCAAGCACTGATATCTGGCTAAATCTTTGAAAATACATATGTGTATATATAAATTCTATTGTACTTTTAAACTTCAATGCGAGAGAAAAGAGATTTGCAGAGAAAAGTGACTGAAATCCTCATATGCTTAATTCAAAAGGCTTGGTAGTATTGTGTATAGACCATTTAATGGATATAAGCCAAAATCTTTTCATAGTCTCTTTCTTTGAGTTGAACTTGTTGTTTGATTTATAAACTAAAGAACCTAAAGTATTTCACAGTTGTGATAGTTGTGATATTCTGGATCTTGAGTCTGTCCTTTACTGACCTGAATGGGAGAGGATGAAAATGCTTCCTCAGTGATATGTAGCAAGATGTAGATTGCTTTGGTTCACTGAAGAAGGTATCACAGAATGTTTTCCTTTGGGAATTTTTCTCTTGCAATCTCTAGGATTTTTATAGTAGTCTAGGATTGTACAATTGAGATACCAGAAGGATATAATTGGGCCGACCATTATGGCATTGGTAAATTCCTTGGAATAAAAAAAAAATTAAATGGAGCCATATTAATATTGAGGGATATTTTTAAAGCTACTGTTCAAGATTGTAATCTGTTGCTATCAAATCAAGTGATAAATTGCTACAAGCTACGAGCATTATGTCTCCTTTGTGAGTTATATACATAAGTCATGAGTTTGTTTATATGATAATTTTAAGAGAGATAAGTAGATGCAAGGGTTAAAATGTTTGGATCTTTGAATCTTTGTTTGAATCTTTGTCTCAAGATTCCCTGTCTGGGTGTTCCAAGTACTGAATGCCATCCTTCTTCAACCGTTAAGAAGGAAGTTTAGGCTGGGTGCAGATGTTACTGGATCTCAGATTTCCACTTTGGTTGCTGGTGATTACTTAACTCGTTTGTTGAATTAGAAGAGACCTAGTTGTAATTAATTCAACCGTGTTTCTTTAAAAAGCTCTTGGATTTCTGAATAGAAATAGTGGAATTCTGTAAGACTTGGGTTTAGATTCTACTTGTGTTTTGCACTTTGTGTAAATAAGAATTAAATGTCATGTTGGTATAAAATCCATATAAAGGAAAGAAGGGTCAAGCTCATTGGTAGAAAGTGAAACCAGGATTGAAAGGTTGCAGGATGTCTTATTCCTTAAGGGTATGATAAAAGAACATTATATCCATTATAGCTTCAAATTTTAAAAACTAAACTCATCCATATTCCTGTTTGCTTTTTACCCCCACTGGCATTAAGTGTCTTCTATTACTACAGTATTGATCAATATTTATTAACTATTAACTATCTGCATGCATTAGGGAAAAAATAGTTTTAAAGTGAATTAAGTTTATTGATTCAACATCTGACAAGAAAAACTATTGGTCTATTCAGTTATTTTTCTTAAAACAATCATTGGTGACTTGACATTCTGTGTAACAAACGATCATTTAAGCCAGAATCCAAGGCAAAGTGCTGTTAAAATCACATGTAGTAGAGTACAGATTTTTCTTTAGAGTGCAAAAACAAAAGGCTTGTGGCATTTGACTGCACTGTTGTATTATCACAGAGAGATAGGATGGTAAAATGGCTTGGGTTGGAAGGGACATTAAAGATCTAGTTCCAACCCCCCTGCAGGGAAGCCTTTCACTAGATCAGATTGCTCAAAGCCCTATCCAACCTGGCCTTGAGCACTTCCAGAGATGGGACATCTACAACTTCTTTGGGCAACCTGTTCCAGTGCCTCACCATCCTCACAGTAAAGAATTTCCTCCTAATATCTAATCTGAACCTGCCTCTCGCATTAGAAGCTGATGAATTTCTCACAGTATGATATTTCTGACATCAGTCAGTTTTGCTGGTATATTAACTTAATTTGTCTGGGTTTTTCTGTTACAAAATATCTAAGTTGGACAGAAATTGGATATGAGATTGATTCACAGCTATGAATTGAAAAAGAAACTGCTTAAAGTACTTGCTGAAAAAAAAAAGAGACTGTTTATTAGCTGTATGAACCTGGAGTATCCACCCTTTTTAAAACTTAGCCCCTCAAAAATTCCTAAGAAGTAAATTTGCTGAAAAAATAGCTCAGGGAAAAAGTGAAATTATTTGTGAATTTAACTGAATTTAAAAGTTTCTATCTGAAAAAAAGGAGGAAGTTCCCTTTGAAAAGTTGAAATGCTTAATTTTCATTTTTTAAACAGAAACTTATTTTAAAATCTGCCAAAAATGTTTCATTACAATATTTTAAAAATACAAATTATTTATTCCTTTGAGACATCTTTTAAAAGTGTATAAAGAAAAGAGTTAAAAAGGGTAAAATACCCATTTAGCATTTATATTTTGTTGGACTTTTTGTTTTGTTTTGTCTCAAGGCAAAAATGTCTCTCTTATTTGCTTAAAGTAAAAAAATAAATAAAAATAAATCCCATTTGACTGAGCCCATACTGGACTTTTTGGATTTCTGACCTGAATTGTCAGAGAATTGATCCAGCTCAAGTCATCCTTTAATGAAAATCTAGTTGTTGCCCAGATGAGCACCATATTCTTGAAATGATCCACAAATTCTTAGTGTCATTACTGTTAGGCCCTCAGGAGATCTGTTGTAAAATAGGGTTTTGGTTTTATATGTATACTCTCCATATTTTTTTCTTTCTTTTTCTTTTTTTTTTAGTCAAGTTCTATTGTGGCTCTTGTATGCTTTCAGTTAGGATAGTCAGATGTGACAATGAAACATATCAATCCTTCATATTAAAATATTGTAGATGCACCTTTCCACTCCTTAAAAAGCAGCCAAACAAAAATTCCCACTAATATCAGTTGGTTGCAATCATTTTTTAATCCTAAAATCTTACGAAAAAGTAATATATGTCAAGAATGTGTAGGAAATAACTATGCTATAGATCTGCTGGTTTGGTTGGTGGGGTTTTTTGTTTTGTTTTATTTTAATTATGAAATTGTTATAAATATAACTGTATCAAAATCTGGAGACATGGTTACTTTGGAAATTGCTTTTTCGGCTCTAAGGTTCCCATGTGTCAGCTGCTTGTTAGTTTCTTTGTGATGTTCCAATTCTGCAGCAGCTGAGGGTAGTCATTGTACAAGTTCTCTCCAGTTAATCCATTTTGAGACAATGTCTTTAGTTGTCTTGGACAAGTTAATTGAAAGGTTTGCTAAATTGACATTGCCTTTTTTTTTCCCAGTGGGCTCACTTTGCACTAGCTCTAAGCTATTCAGGAGAAAGCTTAGCAGTGGGGCAGTAACATTTTCAAATGCATCCTCTGGCATCTGAGAGATCTGAAGCTTGCAATGTGTCTTCTTACAAGTAGTACCAATGAAGTTGGGTTTAGGATAGGAAGAAAACAGTCTCAGAAAAATATGATCAAGAAGAAAGGAGGGGGGAATTAAATAAAAAAATCACTTAATGCAAAGCCTGTGCTTTTGCAACCCCATTTAGTTTCCGTGATGACATCAAGAAGATCACAGTCATTTCACAGTTTTGGTGGTCCACAGCATAGTGGGCTTTCACTTCCCAAGAGATGAGAGCATTTGCCACCTTTTACAGCAGTTTCGTGTCCATTTAAGTTGAAAACCAAGGGTCTTGGAGGTGAATTTGCATCGATTCTCCCCAAGCAATAACACAGCTAGTGTGCTCTAAGACACTAGAATGCTCTGGTACTTGGCCATTGTAGCTAACAAAAATACCTGCTATTTTTTCTGAATAAACCTAGGTTTTTTTATTTGTGAAGTTATAATGAAGTCAGCAAACTGTAGAAAATACTGAAGCAGACTCTGAGTTGAAGTCATCTCACAGGTTGCTTGGATCATCTGAGAGAAATTATGCCTGATGTGAACCCCAAGCCTGTAAACCACTTAAGCAATCCTTTCACCTCTAAGTGGCAAAGGCATTTGCAATGCCAAGCATAACAGTAAGAATAGCCCTGTCTACCTTAATACAGGAATGGAAGTGACCCCACATATCAAGTCAGTGATGTGCAGGTAGCCCAGCTTGCTGAAAGCAATAGTTACGCAAAGACTGTCTTTGATAGTATTTGACTTCCTTGAATTTCTTCTGTTTGTGGGCACATCAGCAAGACAAGAGGGCATGGTCTCAAGTTGTGCCAGGGGAGGTTTAGGTTAGATATTAGAAAGAATTTCTTTACAGAGAGGGTGATCAGACATTGGAATGGGCTGCCCAGGGAAGTAGTGGATTCTCTGTCCCTGGAGATTTTTAAAAAGAGACTGGATGTGGCACTTAGTGCCATGGCCTAGTAACCACAGCGGTAGTGGATCAAGGGTTGGACTTGATGATCTCGGAGGTCCCTTCCAACCCAGCTGATTCTATGCACAAGTTTGAAGCATAGGATCCGTGTGGCAGGGGAATTTACGATATTGCTTTCACTAAAGGACTGAGGGAGTCATGGAACTAATTTCTATCCTTTGCCCAGGTTCATCCACTTGCTATAGTTTCTTGAATATAAATGAAAGTAGATTTTGTTCATTTAGTGTACATTGATTAAACTGGCATGAAGACTGTAATTGCTTTTGGAGCTTGGTTTGCATATGCAGTAGAGTACCTGCACCATTGTCACTCCTTTTTCTCAGACTGTCACTGCTTATGTATTATAAAATTGTATGTTTCTTTTTGTGATCTTGTGGTTGTAAGACTGTGTCCACTCTTACTGATGTCACCTATATTTAGAAGCTTGTGTTCACATGTATTCTAATTCACTTGCACTGTTTTGGAAATGTCAAGTTTACAAAAATACAATTTTTTTGAATAAAATATGGTTGCAAAATTATCCTAATAATATCATTTTGTCAGTTATTGTCCTTGTCCAGCTCAAGTATTTTTCCATTAATCTGGTGAGACATTTTCTTCTGTATGTTTGAATTAAATAGTATTAAATTAATTTAATTAAATAGTGTTAATAGTATAATGGAATTAAATGTGTTCGTCTGTGCATGGAT